TAGTCTCTCTCATACTCCCTCTCACTGGCTCTCTCTCTCTCTCTCTCTCGTATTACGTATTAAAAAATACAAAACTACTTAGCATTTCACTCGCAGATCCACACACTGTTTCACGTATGACTTCCCACTTCCCTTATACTCACACTACCAGTCCTCCGGAATGACTGACACATTCATTAAACACTTATTCCATTCATAATTTTTGTGACAATTTTTATGACAACTTTTTTAAGAACTCATTTCATAGCATGATGTCTGAAAAACACTTTATGTTATATAATATACGGAAAATGTCTGACAAAGTATTATATATAATATATGAAAAACAATTCACTCACACCCTGTCCCTCCCATTCCCCTCTACTTCCTATTCACGGATCTTAAAAGCTGTCAAACATTAGACTAATGCGTGAATTACGGAGTCGTTTGTCTTAACGGCGAAAATACATGAAATAATTTTGTGTTTTATATTCAAAAATATTTTGCCATAAAAAATGGATTAAATTTTATTATGTAACAAATTTTTAAATTTGTTGTCAACTGATATGTTCCCTTAAAATATATTATTTTCTAATACGTAACAAAATTATCCAAAATTATTTATAATATTCAAAAATCTTAAGCTACAAGTTACGAGACCTTTTGTATATTTACAAAGGTTATATTATTATTATTAATTTATTTTATTTATGTTTACAGCATATTATTAATAAAATGCATATTAATTAAACTGTATGATATTTAATATAATTGTTGTAGTTGAATAGATGAATTAACTATATAGTTATTAACTATACTGTATTGTTAAAGTAATAATATTGAAACTGTAAACGTTTATTTAGGCTTTGATAAATGATAAAATATAAGTATTCATTTATTTTTTTGGGGTTGGAGTCAGTTCGGGTTATTTTTTTATTATATTAATTACTAAAAAATACATTAATGATATAGTTCATTACTCCGTGCTCTGATTACTGTAAGCAAATTAATTTGGCAGTATTAATAACATTAGAACTGTAAGTTAAGCTATTATAATAACATTTGTAGTATATTAATTTCAAATTATATGAACACTGGAAACAGTATTACACCGACAGTTAATTTTAATATTTAAAATACAATTTACATTTTATGCTATGAATGTCTAATATATCTGTGCTATTTGATTTAAAACAATCTACCTTGATAATTTTTCAGCTCATCTCGCACTACACGATATGGTCGTCGGGTCTCTACTGTTGCCTATCATCGGAGGTGTGCCGTCGACCGCAAGACATCATCAAACTCTATGCACAACAAAGTAATTTCAAACTGAGCAGGCACGTCCGGTCCATTTCCATTGAACGTCAGCGTAACGCCATTAACCGGGGACAGGGGTCGGCGGGTGAGGTGCGGGCCTCCACGCCCACCAATATTAAGATTAAGGAGTGGTTTACGACAATCAATCACAAGTGGACTAAAATCAAGAAACAGACCCAACAGACCATACTTAGACACCAGCCCCTCATCACCGACACCAGTGATTATGCAGGTATGTAGGGCTCAGTACATTAGTGGGATAGGGGTCATTCAATTAGTATGCATCAAAATATCCATAGTGAAACTAGTTTTATAATACTGTAATATTAAAATATTTATATTACATTCTGTAGATATTCTGTAGTTAATAATTATACAAATTAAGATTTATTACATTATAGACAGGTAATTTATATATAGATATTACAATTATAGTTAAACGTATCTGGCTACTTTGATCCGCATGTCAAATACATTTAGATTTAAATCCCTGTCTATCTATATCCGGGATAACCCGTAATACTTATCTCTATAGCATATTATATAATAAATAAATGGTTTATAACTAAAATTGGTAAAAACTTTTTTCTCGATGTATTAGTATTTGATTTCATATATATTTTTATCGCAAAAACAAAGTTAGGATAAAACGAAATAAAAAGGCAATCAATCTGTACGGATAAAAAACAGGGACTACGGGATTAATTGCACAGAAAAATTAGTAGCCTTTCCCCCTACTGGTGCTCGCAGAGACAGACACATACAATGCCTATTACCAGTACATCAGTACATCCCAGTGCTGACAACTTAAACATTTTAGCTTTTTCTTTGGCTATGAGTTTAGTTTAATAGGAGTTTTTCAGCGAAAGATAAATTGCTTTTGAGTTTGCGATACAATTTCATCCCTTATTGCTATTGTTATACGAGTTTTACAACAAAATCCCATCCAATTAGTAGTCATTAAGCGCTTATCAGTGAAAATACTTATACTTTTAGTTATTATAAGTTTAGATAAGAAATGGCTGCAAAAAGTTTAATTTGTCGTAAGGAATGGTAGTCTCTCTCATACTCCCTCTCACTGGCTCTCTCTCTCTCTCTCTCTCTCTCTCTCATCGTAACCATACAGTCAGACGTAAAATTTATTTGAGTTTTAAAATCTTATGCTATTTATTATTGTGCGTATTGTTAGCCAACAAAAAAATGTATGATGATGAATTATAGCCACCCCATTATATAACAGTGCAAAAAAGGCTTGTCCAAAAATCCTGACATAAAATGAATGGTCATTAAATTCTTATCTCATATTTAGTAACAAGACATTTATATAGTTTTTAATTTGTAAAATACAAAGTTTTTTGTAGGGTGATAATAAATGATTTAGTAAATTAAATTATAGTGCTTTGCAGTGATGTGCCATTTAGGGCGTGTAAACTAAACATACTGTAAAACTACTTATAAATCCCACTTATAATAAATAGCATATAGTAAAAGCTGTATATTTTGTAAATTATATATAATTCACTTTAAATTTAAAATAATATAAAATTAAATGGCTCTGACAACTACAAAATAATATTAAATCAAAAATAATGGTTTTATATATTTTCATTTACGACAATTTACTGTGCTAAACATACTGTAAATTATATAATAAATCTCATTTATTTATAATTATAAGAAATAAGATTTTTATAAGATTTAATAATAAGCACAAGCTGTACCATTTTAAAACAATATAACATTTATGATAACTCTAAAATATTATATAATCACGGGTATATATTTTGTATATTTTTCAAAAATGTTAACTTTTATTATTACTTTTACTATAATTTTTATAAACTCAGAATTATTTCTAAAACATCACACTTCCCATATCTCATAACCTTGCTTACAATTTTAGCCATAATTATATTCACATTAGGTGCTACAGTACATTATATACTCATTGATTACATTTTTTCTAGCAAAATGCATAACCAAATAGATACACATTATACAATCACACCACACATACCAGTGCCGGGGATTTATCATAACACCACATCTACCTAACCCTATAATTACCACACAATACCTCACACCACGTACTCAAACACACAATAACTCATAAATCTCTATATTTAGAGCACATTTCGGGTGATATATCATCTCTACTGACACTCCGACGTCATAAT